CTTTGACTCAGTTAGGGTAACTATTGTATGTCCCGAGTCAGAAAATTACAATTTTCGATTTTACAGCGTTGCAAATTGTTAAATTAAGTTGATTTCTACTTGAAAAGATATTTCACGTAGAAATGCCTATGAAAAAGCTGCAAAATCAAAAGTGAAATTTTTCTGACTTTGAGACGAAGTTACCTCTGATTCAGCCAATGTTACACCAACTTATGGTCCTGCTGTTACGCAGATAATTCTTAATGTTATTATTGGGGGAAATGCACGCTATTTTGTACGTTTGAAAAGTTTACACTAACCGTTTAAAATAGTTTCAAATTCATATGTAAATACTTGACGAGAAATCCTTATAGTCACAATCTGTTTGGAATGGAAATCATACTAGAAATTATTATTATGATTATTAATATTTTAAAATAGTTTAATTTATTTAAACAATAAAATTTTAACAATAAAATCTCAATCTAAATTTTGAGAGACAGTCCGATAATAACAAGTCTGCAGAAGTTTATGTGGACTCATATCTTTAGACAAATTTATTTCCTCTATTATTCATTTTATAGGAGTTAAAATGAAATAAAAATTATATTAGTCATAAAGAACAATTTTCTATCGTTCCATTTTAAATATAATAATTAAAATTGCAATAGCAACAATGAAGACTGTAATTTGATTGGTTGTTGAAAGGTATCATTTTCAAGTTATTTATGAAAGTATCGAATAAAGCCAGTGACATCCTAATAAAACATTCCAGAACACTGAAATTACTATGAAATAATAATAATATTTCCCGAATCAGTACATAGTTCGGCGATTTTCATTATCTATCGAGTCACCCGTGAAAATGGTCCCGCGTGGCCATTGAAACCGTTCGATCGGGCGATTTAAATTTAAATTTAATTTTCTTTCATCCTACCGAACGGCCAAATATGGTCGGCAATGATTGATTCAAGCATTCGTTGAACGAATGTTGCGACGGAGCAGTCACCGTTCGCGTTATAATAAAACGGCACGTGTCGTCGCGTCAGCGACAGCCGGAATTTTATCGTTCCCGCGTGTACGTACACAATACGATTATTCTGTCACTTCATTGACCGTGCTTTATCAGCTCTGACGTGGAAATGGAAAGGCCATTTCATCCTCGGCTGGCGATTTCATAAATCACTGTTCATTTGCCCGTTCCATCGGAAACTTGGTATTTCATGGTGAGCATCATCCATCCCAGAAAATTCTTCTTTTTTTTTTTCAATTTTTCCGGCGAACCGAAAAGCGATCCTTCCTGAAAGAATCGATAAAAAGGCAATTATTCGAAGTATTTTGTATGTTGGACAGTATTTCCAACACATTGGACGACTGCGTACAATTTTTCGTTTCGAGAATATAATAAATAATAAAAATTTGGAACATTCCGATAAGCCGGATTCTACATGTGAAATTAAGATAAGAATCAAGAATGACAAAATTATCGTCATAGAAGTCGTCCATAAATATATTTATACCATCCAGTCCACTGAAAATGTAGTTAATATTTTCTATATTGTACTATTCCATTTTATTTACCATTCAACAATTTGACACACTATATCGATGGAACAAAATTCCTGTACCTGTCCAAAGAGTTATCTTTCTCCATCCCTGATGTATTACGCAAATACTTCCGTCTGCAACCGCACGTTACGATGACAGTATAAACACAGTTTACTTCTCCAACAACCGGTTCGGTAACAGCGTCATAACGTAGCCATTACAAGTTCATAAGTAATTCACAGAGACTCTGAGTACAGAATCGTGTTGTTCTATGGTTTAATGTTAATATCAAACATCGTTTCTATTTAACGAAGAACCTCTTCGCGTCACGGGCCAGCTATTCCAGCATTATTAATAACCGTAGACGTTGTCCCGAAACAAGAAGTTCCCCGCGGAAGGATACAACCACGCAGGCATGCACGATCTCTTCGGCGCAACGCGGGATAATAACGTTTCCAGCTGATGTCACGTACATATACACGTCGCCCTGGTACGCGGGGACATAAATTCCCCCAGAAGGAGGCGCGTAAACGCGCGATAAAAGGTGGCAAAGTCTCGTTGGAGAGGTGGTGGTGGTGTGTTCCTTCAATCACTAGAGGATATGGTGAGACGAAACCGTTCGCTGGGTTGCATAGTGGTCCAGAAAACAAAATTTGATAGCCGAAATGGTAAAAAATCAACTTCTCTTATTTTCTAAGAAATTTACATCAACTTATTATTAACAATGGAAGATTAGTACCACGCGTTATTGTTAAACCTCAGACCCTGTCGTATCTTCAACCTCAATCAAGAACAGAAAAAAATTCCCTAAAAATTCATACTTTGTTAGGAATACTGTTAGTGAATAATAACGTCATCGAAGAAGATCGTATTTTCACTTATATAAAATTAGATATTTCAAATTTTTTTAATTTCTTGAGCTACATAAACCTGTGAACTGCTAATTTTTTATTCCGTATTTGAATTCCTCGAACAGCGTTCGCGTTGGTCTTTGCGAAAATAAAAAGGTTTCGTAGCCGGGGAACGAGACGTTTACGGGTCCTTCCAATAAAGTCGCGTCTACGAATGCATTCGCTTTACATTCGGCACGTTAGCTCCCTTTCGCACGCCCGGAGGCCTTTTATGAAATTGAATTACCTCGAACGGAAAGATTTTCTTTCCGTTGCTATCGACAAGCCTGACTGTTCGACCACCGGCGAACACAACCGGTCGACTACCTGTCGATTATCTTCTATTCGTGGAATTACGTACTTTCGGCTTTGCGCGCTGGTTGCGTGGGGAATAATCGGACTTGCGAATAATACGATCTGTGATTTGTGGAGTGTGGATTTTATGCATTTATTGCATATACGATTGTTTAAAATTCAATGCATTAAAAGGTTCAGTAAATTCCATTGAAGCTTTCACATTATCTGGAACCTGATAGAATCGTTAATAAGATCAATATAATTCTATTGGATTTCGTTTTTTATAAATTATTTTATAAGTCTCTGAATTTGCATAAACGTTCGCAGTCTAGTGATATTTTTGCATTGCTTTCTGGTCGCCGCGTGGTACATCGGAGGCTCAGAGTAGAACACGTTATAAACGTATATGTATACAGGGTGGTCCTATGAATATATGTATAGGTCACCCCAATATCTTTTTTTTTATATATGTTATAGGAATGTGTGTAGCGATAAAGCACTGGTTACAAATAGCTAACACGACATAGCAAAAATTCTTTTCCTTTTTTGATCATTGTCGTCAACGTTATGAATATCGATGCCAACTATTTATTCTTAATTCACAAACGTGCGATAGAATCATGATCACCGAATGAATCGCGTAATTTACTTAATGGGCAAATAGAGAAATCGATCGACACCACAAACGGTGAGATGCTCATCGAGGCGTAGCAGTATCTCAAATATTTATGTGCCCGTTCAAGGAAAACAGAAACCCCACCCCCATGATTTTCCGTATTAAATAATGCGATATAAATTAAACCACACGGATCGATTCAATCGTGTGAGCCATTCCACGACTTTTATATTTATTTTTAACCGCTTGGAATATCGTAGCAAAAAATTTTAATACGTTCCAATAATTTTCTTAGAATGTTTGTAAATGTTGACAGTCTTTAGTTCCCATTTCAGTTTATATATTTTTGCTAATTACAGGTGAAACTCATCAGTTACGAAAGTGCGGAAATGACATTAATGTGCCAAGTAAATGGCAGGTAAATAAATATGGCAACGTAACAAAACTCTTGATAATAAGATTTAGGTAGTATAAAATATACTTATTAACTTCCCTAGCTACAACTTGATAAACTTTATTTTTTTTATATGTTGCTGAAATCCCTTAATTTTGTTAAAAATCGTATTTTAAAGCTAAAGATTCAAGGAATCCTGTGGTATTTTTCCAACTTGATCTATGGGTGGAAACAGTGTCAAATCGGCATTCAAAAATGTAACTTTAATTATTACTGTATTTAAAAATCGTTTTCTTAGCTTTAAAATGAGGGCAAGACTCTATGTTTAAAAATCACCAAAATACTGCGATCGAAGTGATGTCGTGTCGGCTGATTTCGTCTGATTTTTAAAAAATTTGACATTAAATATTTCGGAAATGGTTCGAGTTTGGAAGTTAAAATTCGACATGGTTCATTTATTCGTGGTTTTCAACAAATGCTGTAAACTTGAAAAAAATCAGGCGACTATGACCGCAATTCCCTTTGCATTTTGATGTGGAATGGCTCGTATATGGGCGCCCTGTTCATTCACCATGGCCTAATCACCGAAGCCAGTGTACGCCTGCTCGAAAAGGATATGTATTACGAGGTCGACCGACCGCGAGATATAATCGAACACGGAAAACGATGAGTCTTCGTCGCTTTTATTTCTTTTTTTTACTTTTTCAACGATCATTTCTCCACATCCCGGTGGTAACTCCGCGTCAAGTCGATCGACGAAGAGGAGGAGAGATAGTAAACGGACGCCACAGTTTCGATTCCGTTGCGCGGTAGTCAATAAATCCGGATCCAAGACAGGAAATCACGGGCACAGTTATTATCAGACACTCCGAGGGCAATCGCGCGACTGCTCGTAAAACGTCCGAGAATTATACGGTCCGGGTATCAATCCGCAGTTTCCATCCATCAATTTCGGCTCATCTGGTCGAGCGTTCCTAGACTTTTTGCAGGACCGGAAACAACGAACGAAAGCGCGCGCGCGCGCGCGTGGAACACGCCTGGGGCACGGTTATGAATGAAATTCGACGATCGCCATCCGGGGCGACCGGTGATTGGGGGCCTGGTCGCGGTCCGCCAGGTATTATGACGACGATTAAAACATTAGGCGCAGTCGTAAACGACGACGGTGCCTTAGCACGGAAGAAAGTGACGACAGTGGACTGCTCTCTATAAAAGTACGTTGTCATCGGGTAACCGTATCCAGTTGTTCGCGGGCTACTCCCGAAATAACGGCGATATGGCGACGATGGTGAGTACACTTGTCCATTATCGTCATTAGTTTACCTCTAAGTAAAACAATTTCGTTCAACTACTTCTACTTAACCCTTAAACTCTTAGTGTTGCACCGGTGGAACGCTCATTTTAAAAGTGCGTGAAATTCTGTCGTTGGTTGTATATTAGTCTCATAAATATACCGCGGACTTTTATGCAAAATAAAAGTTTCTAAAGTAATTTATAAAGACAGGAGCAATTGTAGAAATTTCTGTTAATCTAAAATAGAAAACTCGTTGGATCCGATGAAAGTTTTGTTTCTTATTGTATTTCACAGAGCCCTATAAGCATATATCTATATAAATGCATAAAATCTGCAGTCTACTGATGATCAATAGCTTCCTTCGTCCTCACCCGAAGTTTCATACAACTTAAAGTCTCCTGAATGTCAATAAGTTAAAATGTTACAATTAGCAGTTACTGCATAATAAAACAGTATCCCAATTCCCAAGGAAGAAGGTATCATACTCACGGTCCACCGTTCTTCGTTCATCCCGTTCGAGTGAAATTGCGCGTCTTCCGTTTAAACGATGCAGTCGTTGATTAAATTCCCAGTTAATAAGCGCCCAGGCATTTGCATTTCAAGAAGAATACGCCAAGACCCTCGGAGAACTTCGTATTCCGTCGGTTACTACATCCGTTGCTCGGAGTTCTATTCGCGTACGCGAGATTAACAGGTAGAGAGAGAATAGACAGGGAGCGTCGCTACACAGTCCTAAATGTAACTTATTGTTCAAGTGATAAACCAAGTTCAGACGACGATCGTGATTACGCGTTCGGGAGGGGGGAGAGGGGCTGCGAATTGACCTATGCGAGCCTCGGAGAATGAACTCGCAAAGCGCGCCTGGCAGATAATGGAAACAGACATTTACCAAAGAACGTTCCTGAGACCGGTTCTCGAAACACGCTCGGAGCCAAATGAATCTTTCTGCCCAGGCCCGTATCGTTCGTGTTTTGAATTCGTTCCGAGCGGAAATAAAATTTCTGATTGCGTTCCCTGCCAGCGGCGGACTACTGTTTTCATAACGGCGGACCGTCGTCGGGCGAGACCTAAAATGAAATGCTAATTCGAAATTCCCCCGCAAAACGGGACGGGTTGCAATTTTTTCGAATGTGCCACGAATCGCATAAATCATCCCCCCTGAGGATCGCTTGTCGGGGATATCCCATTCGTTTCGCGCTGAATACGCCGCATGGATCAGCCGGGACAGCTGACCTCGTTCATTCGTACGGAAAAGTCGAGGTTCCATTCCGATTACCGTATAGCAATGATCCAGCTCGTCTACCCTCTCGACGAATACCTCGACCAGAATCGCAAAACTTGGTAAAACTAGGAGGGACGAAACGATTTACCGGATATTATTGGCAACTAGGCTATTCCGCTAGGTGTACGTCGTCCTCCGAGCGTCAGGAAACGCTAGACTGCCCGGCAAAATGACCCGCGAAACTCGACGTTGTTTTATTGTTTCGGTTAACCGACCTGATGTCCGGCGCGCGAGCAGCGTATCGTAATGAATTTTGCACGCGGCCAGGCGATTTTCGGGCGTTATTATTGTCCCTGTTCGGTGCTTTGGTGCGGCGCTGATCGAATAACAAAGCCCGATAAGCACGGTTTAGATGGCTTTGATTGGTGGTGGTTCTCGGGCTCGATGTCCAGAACGGATTTTCTCCTGTTTTTCGTTTGTCCCAGGCGTGGCTCCCGGCCGTCGCCCTGTTACTGACAGCGGCGGCTGGCCAAGATCTGACACCGTCCGAAGGGAATCGACCGCGAGTACCAGCCGGCAGTCCCGTGCTGGCCGATCTCATCGGGATCCCGCGACAATTCCAGCCGTCCAAACTGTTACCGCCACGCAACTCCACCGACAAGCTCCTGAACATCGAGCGACATCCCCGAAAACGGCAATTAGCCGACCTTGCAGCGAATTTCCAACCGCTGACGCTGCCCCTGAACGTCCAACCATCCGCGCCACTTCATCGAGCCGCTTTCGACACCAGCGCGAAGATCGTCTCGACCATTAACCAACCGGCGAAGCAAGGGATCGAGCCGAGAATCTCGTCCGCCCCGTCGCATATCACGTTCGTGACCCCGCAGATCATCCCCACCCAGCGAAGAATTCATGGTTACGACAGCAATCAGTCGCCGTCCTTTTACCACAGCCACGGACATCACCACGGCCATCAACATTCCCATCATCATGGACACCATGCTCACCACGAGCATCACGCGAAACATAAACACGAGCACGGTCACAAGCATCATCAGGAACACGAGCACAAACACGGCCACGAGCATCATGCAGAGCACAAACATCACGAGGAACACAAGCAACATCACGACCATAACCACCATCACGGTCACAAACATCATGAGGATCACAAGCATCATCACGGCCACGAACACAAACACGATCACGGGCACAAACACGAACATAAACACGGTCACGATCATAAGCATCATGGGGAACATCAACATCATCACGGTCATCAGCATCACTCGAAACACGAACATCACGAGGAACATAAACATCATGCCGAGCATCATCATCACCACAAACATCATCATCACAACGAACATCATCACCATCACGACCATCATCATGTTAACGAGCACCATCATCATCATACTCACAAGGAGACAGAGAATCATCATCATCATCACGGACACGAGCACAAGGAGGATCACAAGCATGCTCACAAAGAGGACCACAAGCATCATCACGGCCACGAACACAAACACGGCCATCACGAGGATCATCATCACGGACATCACGAGGATCATCATCACAAACACGGCCACGATCACAAGCACGCTCATCACCAGGATCATCATCACAAACACGGCCACGAGCACAAACATGGCCACCACGAGGAACATCATCACGGGCATCATGAAGATCACAAGCACGAGCATCACGAGGATCATCAGCACAAACACGACCATAAACATAAACACGGCCACAAGGAGGATCATCATCACGGACATCACGAGGATCATCATCACGCCCATCACCAAGATCACAAACACAATCACCACGAGGAGCACAAACATGGCCACGAGCACAAGGAGGAACACAAACACGGCCACGACCACAAACATCACCACGATCATCACGAAGATCATCATCATCACGAACAGCATAAACACCACGAAGCCCACGAGCATAAGCACGGCCATTCGCACGAGGAGGAACACAAACATTTAAATGATCATCGTCATAAACATCACCATGACAGCCATCACAAACATCACGAGGATCATCATCATTCCGCTTACCAACATCACGGACACGAACATTTTAAAGGACTCGGGCATTATTTCGACGCCTCGCAAAACCACGAGGAATACGTGTTCCCCGAAGAAACCGAGACGGCCGGTGTGACGCAGGCAGCTGTTGTGGATATACTTAAGATTAAAAACGAACCGGAAGTCACGGCAACCGTCGAGCAACCGGAAACGGCTCAGGTCTAGGGAATTGCATTGTTAAGCTTGGAACGTAGTACACAGCCGCTTTGTTGTTGTTGGAAAGGAGTAAAATAGAGTCTCTACTATTCGAACTAACATAAAGAGGAACGGTTTAGGTAATAGAATATATATTTCTTTAAAGTTGATCTGCTTATACGTTTCGAAGAAAGTACATGAATGTATTCTTTGGTGTTTATTCTTCGACATTGGGGCATTGTAAGTTAGAATATTATTAAGTTTTAATAATCCCAGTTGACCCAATATAGATATGCACGTAGCTATTATGGAATGTTCAGATCTACACTGGCTAATTTTTGCTGACACAGAAGACTTCAAACGTTCGGTACAATACCGAAAGTTGACTTATTTTTCGGCATAGCATAATCAGTATTGAGTCATAAATAATCACCACCTTCTTTAAAATCATAACAATTTCAGACATTTTGCAGATCACATTAATGTATGAAATATTATTTAATATTTCCAACCCAGCAATATTGTCTCTGGACATGTATCTTTAAATTATAACTAATATGCAAAAACTTAAAATTTTCCAAACATGTTAATTAATTCATTATTCTTGAGTCATTTGACATACCTTTACGAATTACGCCTTATACAAAAGAACATCGAGTATTGATAAAAATTCATTCATTATTATAGAGCCCAAAACAAAAATATCCTGAGCATTCAATAGAATTGCAGAAATTTATTCAACTTTGTGTCAGTCGATGTGAGTTGCGATCATAATAAATGTTACGTTATAAGAAATTCAAGAAGACAGAATGTTGTTATACAATAACTGGTTCGAGTAATGGAGGTTCTAGGAAATAGATTTATTTACAGTTTCGTAGGTTTACATTCCTTCTTGTGGCAGCGTCTACTAGGTCAAACGATGAAGGCTGGCTTATCTCCAATTGTTATTCCGTTAGTCAGTCTTAGTTGTATCATTTGTTGTCACCTTTGAAATATAAAGTTTTCACAAGTTCACGATTGGCCTGTCCCCTCCCCCTGTTAATCCCCTCGGAAACCCCTGGTATCAGAAATCCGACAGAAACAGAAGGGCGTCCGACTCCAGAGCTGCAACAGCGTTTAAACTTTAGTCTGAAGATGTTCGAATCTTGGGCGCAAAGCGGATATCTTTCGTGTCCGCTGCGAAATCACGGGGGAAATACACGGAGAGATCGCCGGGACGAATGTGAAAGCTCCGTTTAATGAAACATCGGAAAGCCAAACCGGAAGAGCAATTTCTCGACGTACGGAACCCCGAACCGAAAGTGGGCTCTCAACAAGAGAATCTTAGAGATTGAAGTAGATTGCTAACAATGGACAGGTTAAATACACACCGAGAAGCTTGAAATAAATTCATTCTGGTGGAGTAATCCTATAATGCAACGAAACACTCCTAGCTGGCTCCGATAGTCGACCGATTCGATGAACTCGCGAACAGAGTTGTAATCCTGGGCCCTCCTGGTTCATAATGTCGACTTAAACTCTCGAGCGCAATCGACACCGAAACAGGATTAACGCGATCCTCTCGAGTACGAGTCATGTCAAAAAGGAAGAAAATAATACTGGGAAGATTATCGGGCACAACCTGCGACGAATTATCCGCTGAACGGATAAACGAATTTGAATTAAAAGGAGCTTACCGGGAGGCACAAAGAAATGAGGAACTACTGGTTATCCTCCACGGAGATAGAGATTTCAGTAATGATATATTAGAATGCAAAAGGTATTTTGCTGAGTTTTGTATAAATTGGACAGATCGATGTCCTGTTTGATTTAGATCGGTTGATTCAGTCGGCCCTTAGAAGTATGGCACTAATGATTGCTGTGTACATAACATTGTAATCATCCTTACAAGAGTGTACTAACAAGTTATTTTGATTTATTTGGTAGTTCTAGTGTTAAAGAGAAGAATTAGAAGGAAACATTCATGATGACCACAGACAGTTTCTTCCAAAATTCTATTAACCGCAGGCGCATAATTGTTCTTAAAATGAACCTGCTCCCCAAACAGGTATCCATTAAATAAATTATATCATTCACCGTGTGCATTAGGTGCTACAAAATTAAATTGCATTTCTCTATTTTCCGCGGTCGGAACCACCACGTCGGAATTATTCTGAAATGTCACGGACGACGTTATTATATCAAATAAACGGTGAACAGAGCCGAAGAGAGCAGGGTAACGGCGGGGACGCCGCAGAAAACGCGGGAAAGTTTCCGCGAAACGGGTCGCCTATCGGGACCAGCCGGCCAGGCGAAACGTTAATATTTCCATGGAGTTTGATCTTGTTCCGACAGCGGCCTCCATTCGAACAATAGGAAACTTTCGGAATGGAATCGAAAAGCCCGGACTCGAACTAATTTCGGGGCTTGCAGATTATTTTTCCCGCGATATCCGCCCCCACCCCTCCCTTCTCTCCCGGCTTGGACGGCGTCCCGATGCCGCCTTATTGCGTCGAACCGTAAGTTTCCATCGGAATCCCCGATATTCTTCGCGGACGAGTTCACGGTGACCCCGTATCACGGGAAACGGACCTTTCTTATCGCGCTGGACCATTTCCGCGTAACGTGTCCAGGAAATTTTTCACAACAGTTTGACAATCTGGTGGACGTCTTGTATTTTTGTTAACCTCTTTTGGGGAAAAAATTGTCGAACTTAATTGGGCGAAGTACACTTAAATTCATTAGTCTGCTCTGTTATGCGAAATATATGATAAACTATTTTTGGAAGTTGAAAGAAGAGGAGAACGTTAGTACCTACGATTGATGTAAGGAAATTGTCTAAGGAGACTCGGCTGAGTGCTGAATGTCAATAATAAGTCGTCTTTATGGTACTTCAAAAATTAAGATACAGTTATTCCTGGATGAATGCGACACGAGCAACGGCGTTAGTCCTTCCATTGGGGGGGGGCGGGGTCCAATCTGGAATTAATTGAGACAGAATAAGCAGAAGCTAAGCAGAGGATCGGCTTTGGATAAAAAACAAATTTATGAGAGGCTGAAAACCTTCGTCTTGCCATGAATGCTCCGAAGGGAAACCGAGTACGTCGTACTAATCGAGACGTTACTGTACAATCAAGATAGGAAGAACTGAAAAATGAAATGAAATGCAGATGTAGGTGTGAGATACTAAAGAGAAGTATAAGGATATAAATCTGAGGGGAAAGTGAATTTAAATTATGCCACAGATGAAGGTGATAGTGAGGAGTGAGGAGATGAAGAAAAGCGCAAAGGGCGAAGTTTAACTGAAACTCAACTAAAGCCGATGGCACTGGACGTGACCAGATATCCAATACTCATAGAATGTGATTTAAGCTGAATCGAAATTCAAGCTTCTATTCTATTTACTAAAATCAAAATCGATTTTTTTTAATGTTGGTTTATAGCTTTTACTTCGAGAATATAAACATAATATGGTAGTGGTAAAGGCAAGTACTGAGTAGTAATAGTAATAAATTCCTATCTACTTAGATCAATAATACAATGTATTTAACGAATCTTCAAATTATATTTCCTCGAAAACGAAGCTTCTTACAACAGAACTTCGTTCTACCTTTTCGATTCTCTCCACAAAGAATCCCCAACTCCTCTGTTGTACTACTACCTAGTTTCACACTGGAACATCCGGTACATGCATTTCTGCCATTCATTCCAGCGAAACGCTCAGTAATTCACCGCAGAATTTCCCGACCCGCTTCTGAACCAAGCAACAGAGAGATCTCCGTCGATGATTCGATTAGAAATTTAAATATTTCCATCGAACAGGAATCTGTCGAGCGAACGAAGGAAATATCTCTCTCGCAAGAGGCTTACGGTCTCTCTATCCGATTGCCCGCGAAGAAAATTATAAGAGTATCGGCCGCCGACGATTCGTTTCGTCGGAGAACAAACAAGAAAAAAAGGAGAAGAGGAACCACCTAACTGATCGAGACGCGGTCGAGCAGGGAAATCGATTTTCCGACGAAATTCGCAAAACTAGAGATGTCAGCCGGTGAAATGGGTTAATAAATCGTTCGCCACGCGATAGATCCCTGGGAAACGAACCGAAGAAAAAGGAGGACGAAGGAGGGAGGATCGATCTTCGAGGTGGAGAAGGATGGAAGACCGCAGACCTAGCCATCTTGGGGATTTAAATTGGTCCGGCAGGTTTATCAGCATGCATTGGTCGGCGCTTGGGAACTACTCTAACAGCAACGCTCCTTTTTCAGTTTTAGTTTCCCCCGGCTGCCGCTTTAGAGACGCGGAAGATAAGCCGGAACGGGTGAAACAGCGCCCATCCCCTGATAGGAGGGAATTCCATGCTGTCGAGTTGAGTAAATCGTGGCCCGAATGAAAAGTTTAGGGTCGTTCGAGTGTCGCGTTACGCTCGACCAATTTACATACCGGCGACGAATTCTTTCTGGATGTCTTCCTTGGCTTCGACGTTTCGCAACAGGCCCAAGTGGATTCAACGTTTCGATTGTAGGAGATTTCGAGTGCGTACGAACAGACAGGAACAACAGGTTTTGAATAGTAGGTTCTGTGTATGTTCTATTTAATCGTTATTGAAGTTGGTAAATTCTAGATACTATGGATTTTAATTAGAAGCTTGCAGCTTTAAAATGGAGAATCGCTGATGTTTTTATATTGAATTTTTTTAATGTAGCGTGAACTTAACCATTTAACGCCCGGAATCGTTGTTTCGAAATTATAAGACTGATATGCTTTATATTTTTATTTTGAAGTCGGAAATATCGATATTAAATCGACCTATTTTTTTTTTTCATTTTTTTTTCTGTTTTTATTCATTGTTGGGGGGAATATTTGAATTTCTGGACTGTAATCGCGTGGATCTACTTCGCATCAGTGAAACTATGGATCCTTGCTGACAAAAGTTTTTGTCGCACTTCACAAGAACTTGAAGCACTTTTAAAATGAGTGTTGGACGGTTGCAACATTGGGCGTTAAAGAGTTAAAGCAAAATTTACATACGCTTAGACAATTCTTTAGACCAA